CAGGTTTCTTTAGAAATGTCTTAGTTTGTGCTACAAATATTAATTAATTACTCGTAGATTTTAAGAGACATACTAATTTTTATTTTGAGGTTAACTAATTCTATAATGTTGCCTGTATAATTTGCACCTTTAAGGCCTTATCGCTGCATAATGCTAACTATAACCGGTCTGTAGCTAGCTTGGTGAAAGGGGTGGTTCTTTTTTCTCAAAAAGTGGTCCTTTTTGCAGTTAAACACCTCATTTTCTATTTAACTATGAGATTTAAATACATTTTAAGCACTATTTTTAGATGAATTAGCTTGTCGGATGGTCATCATTAACACACATATTCGATGTATCAAAAATATTTCCTAGATTTACAATAAATAAATATGAAAAAATATTCATTTTTAAAATACAATTTTTTTCACATCATATCTCATTACAAAAAAGAAGAATCTGTTTTAAGTTAAAAACAAGTCTATTGTCATAAAAAAATAACAATAATATTGTAGAGCTTCACAATTTTTCTAGCCTTGTAAAAAAAAGTACATTTAAAAAATTCATGGGTAATAACAATTGTATTTAAATAAATTTTAATTTGATTATTTTCACTATTTATGATGGCATAGCAGTCAAAATAGGAAAAATGAGCTCATATGGGACAAATTCTGGACCTTTGTCACTGAAAAAATAAAAACACGAAGTGCAGGCTGTGATTGGTTGGCTTGGTAGCGCTGCAGAGTGTGGGTGATGCTGAGAGCTGCAAGCCTGATGTAGCAAGTGTTTAGGGGAGCGCAGTGCACAAAGTAAAGCAGGGTAAAATGTAACAGAGTTTTAAGGTATTTGTTCAGGGTTAATCATGGCATACTTCCGAGGTTATCACCACAGTGTCAGCAGTTGTCTTCCTTCGAATTATTGAAAAGTTCAGCAAGATTTGGATGAGAAACACAAGAGAAATCATTTTACAGCGTAAAAGTATTTTTAATATAGTCAATATTGTATTATTTAAAAAAAACTGTGAAAGTATGTTAGTAAAATTTTATATTGTTGTGATGACCATCTTTTTGGCTAAAACATGAAACTATTTTAAAAGATGTAAAAAAACACAGTGACTGCAATCCAGTTTTAAGGAAAACACAACACAATGGGGTTAGTTGTAACGGTGTTACAATAAAACCACACACTGTTGGACACCAACTAAAGTTACACAATAATTGTTGAATTTTAAGTGTAATGTTAAACACTTTTAATATAAAAATACTACAAATAAATGCATTGCATAATAATCCAAATAATTCCAAATGTGTTTATCCAATAAATAAATAAACATGCTGTGCTATGTAGAATAAAAAAAATAATTGAGCTAAATACTGAGGAAGTATAGCTACTATTTAAAGTAAACTGAATTTATATTAATTGTGTGAAATCTGCATGTTGCAACTAACCCTCTGTCTGTTACAACTTGGCCCGCAGGTGGGGTAGATAGTAACATTTAGGGTGCTTTCATATCTGTAGTTCAGTTCATTTGGTCCAGGCCAAGGTAAAAAAATGATACATTGTAGTATTTTCTGCCGACTTTGGGTCGTTTTCACACCACACTGATTGCTTTGGTCCGACCCAGTTGAAAAGAACCAAAATTCAGTCATGTGACAAAATCCTTATCTCTTATTGGCCAGATGTTGTTGAACGTATTTCCTAAACTGCTTTACAATTGGTCAGAATCCACATGCTGGAAAATGCCAATAAACTCCTGCAAGTAAACAGACCGGCAGACACAAAATATCTCTTTTTACTATGGAGCCACGACTGTATCATTTGTATACATCACTTTAGACAAACTATACATTTAGAGAGTGTAGCGCGGCTGGAAAACTATGTTTTAATGCATCGCACGTCACTTCAGGAGGAGGCGTGAAATAATGTAGCTAAACTGCGACATGGTCATCTTGCAGAAATATTACCAAGGATCCATCAAGTAATGTTCTTCCACAGAAGCCCTGTGTTAACACACATAATGTTTAATGTATGTGACTATACTTATTAAAAATAATAATGTTTATTCTGGTGCAATGCCTTGCTCCATGTAGTTCCATTACTATTTTATTTTATTATTATGATCTTTTTAAAATATGAAAACTCTGACAGTACAAGATGACAATAGCTATAACTAAACTTTTCATTTATTCATTTTCTTTTCGGCTTAGTACCTTTATTAACCAGGGGTTGCCACAGCGGAATGAACCGCCAACTTATCCAGCATCTGTTTTACACAGCGGATGCCCTTACAGCCGCAACCCAACACTGGAAACACCCATGCACCCTTGCATTCGCACACATACACTATGTCCAATTTAACTTATTCAGTTCACCTATCATGCATGTCTTTGGACTGTGAGGCAAACCGGAGCAACCTGAGGAAACCCACGCCAACACGGGGAGAACATGCAGACTCCACACAGAAATTTGAATCCACTATGCTTTTTTTTACTTGCATTTTAGACTTTTTTAAAAATCTTTTTGCTACATTTTTACATTCTCTGGCTCCAGTTAAACTGATAAGCAACATGTTACAGATGCTACTGAATGTTAGAGATGCTACTAAATCCAAAACATTCCTTTAATACTTGAGGCGAGATTGTTCTGTAGAACACACTTCTCTGTATTATCCTTCTAGATGCGTGACTTTTATCACACGATCTGCAACACTTCCAGAGCAGACCCACACACACTCAAACACGGCGCACAGTTCATGTGGAAGTGATTTTAGGTTATAGGTCAGAGGTCATCTGCATTCAGACGGAGGATATCACCTCCAGACATATCACACACTTTGATGGAGAGAATGTCTGTGGCTTTCTGACCTCTCCGGACTCGGCTCTGGCCTATTAGTAAACAGGAAATAATTAACACCGCAGACAATAAGACAATATGGACAAGCTTGTTTTTGCGTGGCCTTGTCTACATGGTGGCGCCTTCTCGTTCTTCTGTGTGTGTGTTTGTGATAGGGAGACAGACAGACTCCTCCTCCTCCTCATTAGGGTCCTCTCTGTGTTCAGGAAGTGAGTTTAAGTCAGCATTAATCTGTCACTGTGGCCAGACTATCTTTGCCAGGGCTGCTGTTTCCTCAGATAAAGCCAGCATCGGTGTGCGGCGTTCACAGTGGTGACAGGTGCTGATTGGGCAGGAGCGGGAGGAAACCCCTCCGACAGGAAGAGCGGACAGTTCTGTCAGGGAAGGAGCCTAGGGGTCAGGAGAGTTTGAGACATCTCATCCTTGCTAAATACACTCAGGTGTGGGTTGAGGTGTGTACAGCGAAGGCCAGATTTGGCATATACTACCATTAAGATGTTAAGGAGATGGTGAATGTCTTTTGTTAACATCTTTTGTAAAAATTTGACAATTTGGTAGATTTTAATCCTACTTTTGAGCCTTGTTGAAGCCTCCCTGTTATTATTTTGGGAGAAAGACCATTTAACAGAGAATGTGAATATAGTAGGGTAACTTTTTATTACAGACTTTGCAAAGCTTTTCAGGTCTTTGATTAGAGAAAAGTCAGATTTGCATTGAGACGATGGATATCAGTATTGATTTGAACTGCATTGCCTCTTAAAAATGATGTTTTTAATTGACACCTGTAGATCAATCCAGAGCCTTTAATATCCCTTTGTATTGCACTTTTTAAACTCTTAGATCCAGAAGCATTTTTTATAGCAAAGAAACCTTAAGTGAATGATTCTTAAAATAAGCAGCTTTAAAAACAGTGTACATTTGTAAAAAAAACTTTCACTGCATTAAGGACTTTTCGTGTAATGAAAATGTTCCATGGATCTTAAAAGTTCTGTATGGAATATGTAGGACCCTATCATACACCCGGCGCAATGTGGTGCAAGACGCAACGCAATTGTTGTTTGCTAGTTTCAGCTTGGGACAAGAGTCATTTTGACGTTTTGCACCATGCTGTCAAATTGCAAATGCATTTGCGCTCATATGTGCGCCCATAGGCGTTCTGGTCTAAAAAAGGAGGCTTATTGAGGCGCATTGCTGGTGCGTTGCTGGCGTGTTGCTATTTTGAGGAACTAAAATAGCCTGTTCAATAAACCAAATCAAAGTAGGTAACGGTCCAGCGCAGAGCATGTTAGTTGTGCGCCTCGCTTACACACTGCTTAATACACACAGGATGTACAGCAATACGTAAGTATCTTTACAAATGAAAAATTAAAGGATTAAAATATTACAAAACATTATTTTCTAGCCTACATAAATATAAAAACCATAATTTCATGCCTTCTTCATCTCAGGGGCTTTTTCAGTTTATTCAGAACAATTTGTATAATGTAATTATTGCTAATAGTATTATTTTTATATGCATATTTATATTTATTTTATTAAAAACAAGCTTAGATTTTCCCACCTGTCAGGTTGTAGACCATATGGGGCACAGCTTGTGTATTTTGATATAACTCATTTTTTTTGAGCACACTTTGTTATTATTGTTCATCTGTTTGTTTGTTGGAAATTATAACTAAATTTAGAAATAGTTTTAAAAACAAATCTTTGTGCTTAACAAACAAAAATATTTATGTATAGGCTAATGGATGTCTGTGCGTACAAAACGTTTCCCTATCCACGAGAGTGAAAGTGAAAGTAAATAATGAGGAGGCTCATCTCTCATTCTCACGCTGTAGATGTTCTGTTCCGCACCATGGCACATTTACTATTTACAAGGCTGACTTTGTAAGTGGAAAAACTGAGCGTTTCACTGGCGAGAAAACGGTTAAACAGACCATCTGCAGTATGAGCCTCCTCCATTTGGCCCTTACTTTCTCTTTCTTTTGTGGATAAGGTAACGCTGTTGTACTCACTCCACTAAAGACATCTATTAACCTACATATTTAATTTAGTTTGTTAAGTGCAAAAATCAGTTTCAAAACTTTTTCTAAATTCAGTTTTGATTTCTAGCAAACGAATAAATGAACAATAATAACTATAAATAATGACAATAAATAACTGAGTAATATCCAAACACACGCTCTATGCCCCATATGGTCCAAAACCCGACAGGTGGACAAATCGAAACTTGTTTTTATTAAAACAATTAGAAATATGCGTATAATAAATAATACTAATAACATTATACAGAAGCAAGTTGTAATGCATAAATTGAATAAATCCGCCCTGAAAAGAAGAAGGCATGGAGGCAGTGGTTTTTATATTTATGTAGAAATTAATAACTTTTTTAATTTTAGTCATTTAATTCTTTTTTTATTTGTAAAAATATTTGTGTATTGTTGTACATCCTGCGTGTTTTAAGCAGTGTATACATTTAAGGCACATAACTAACATGCTCTGCACTGAACGTTAGACCTGCTTTCAGCTGGCCTACAGTATTTTAGTTCTTCAAAATAACAATGCGTTAACAATGCGCCTTAACACACCTCCTTTCTAGACCGGCACACCCATGACTCCACAAGGCAGCGCAAATGGGTTTGCTACTTAAACAACATAATGTAAACGTGAAAATTTCTGTTGCCCTGGTCTGAAAATAGCAATACATTGTGCCAAGCCTGTCTTGCGCCTTATTGCACCTGGTGTATGATAGGGCCCATAAACTTAAAGAACATTTTGTTGAAATTGTAAAGCATTTATTAAAGTTTTTTTGTAAATCACTCTATAAAAAACCTTTTTTTTTAATGCATTGCCAAAAAAGATCATTTATATTCACATTATGAAGATATTTATTACAATTAAAGAAAAAGGTAAACAACCGTTCAATAAGATCTTAACCAAAATGGTTCTTATCAAGGACCTTTAACATCTACAGTATGCGTCTTTCCATTGCTCAGAAGGTTCATTGGAGATCCAAAAATGTTTTTTAAACTTCTAAAAATTATTTTATTTTATAGTGTGAAGAATGTATAGAAACCTTTTAACCTTAAAGAACATTTTTTGTAATGCAGTGTTTATTATAGGTTCTTCATGAATGACTTTTCAGCAATAAAGAACCTTTAACACATTTCAAAAAAGATCATTTATCTACACATTCCATTGCTCAGAAACAGCACGTCATGATTTAGCCAAGTACGAAGATGCGATCCGCATCTATACTGATCCTAGAACTTCATTTTTGTTCAAAAACAAAATCCATACCTTTTCCCTACCTCTAAACCCAACCATAACTGTAAATTATTGCCAAAATCAGAGGGGAATAATGGTTGCATAACAATCATGTGGAAAGACATAAACCTAACCATAAGCCTAAACTTAACATAATTGTAATGTATTCCTAAATTCTAATTGGCTGGCTGGAATGTTATTCAAGGATCAACATAGATGTTAATCCAGGAACATGTCTTTCTTGGTGAAATCAGGTTGGCGGGAGAACCCAACATGGTTCTATTAAGGCGTCAGTACAAGCACTTTTAGTATGAAGAGTGGTCATGAAAGAAGCAGCAGAAAGATGCATGACTTGATGAATGGGTGTTACTCCCTGCAACAACTTACTTGTTGGGGCCGTCAGTTCAACAACTTTTCCCATAATCCTTCAAGGCAAACAAACGAGTGTGTTCATGGGCTGCTGCAGAAAGATAGGGAGAAAAACAGAGCGAGGGAGAGAGAGAGGAGAGTAACAGCAGGGTACAATTCCTCCACTCAAGTGCTCCTCTCATGCAGTAGGTCTGATTAGACTCTCGCCCCCTGCCAGTTTGTCGGCAGGAACGCGGCGAGCGGGACTAACTTCAAATACAGCCCCGCTCGCTCGGCCCAAATAAAACCTGACTGCTCTCCTCCCCTCCCTCTGCGTGGCTCCTAATGGACAGGGTTTAATCTCCCTTTCTCCTTCGGATATTTGAAGATTTCCTCCTGCCGCGGCTGGCCGGCGCAGAAACAGAATGCTTCGCGCTTTGTTGATTAAAAGCGGCCGCACTCCACCGTCGCTTATCGGCCGGCGACGAGCTGCTCTTTTTTAATTAAAAGCAAGACAATTAACAGCTGGTAATTGCGCAGCGTCTCTGAAGTGCGCCGGCGCGGCCTCCGTTTCACTGGCGCAGCCGACAAGTGGCTTTTTGATCTCTAAATTAGTGAACCCTTGTAATATTTGTTTTGTGGCAGATTTGGTGGGTTAATTGTGGCCTGTGGTGGCCTCGCGCGCATGATTGATGTTCCGGCGGAGAAAAAGGGACATTAAAACTGTAATAGTCTATCAGGATATGCAAATCGCACCTTCATGTTAACAAGCGGGCAGGAGCCGAAGGAAGTGTTTAATGTACAGGAAAAACAATCAGCCACTCTGCCTCAAACTGATTAGTCCATTTGAATTTGAAAGTTTAATTAAGTGCCTCTAATACGCCGTGGTTTGGAGACTGACACATAACATTAAACCATTTGATGCTTAATTTTTGTATCGTCTATTCTTTGTTGTTGTTTTAATTGCGAGGCTCACGGGGTTTGAAATTCTGGAGTGTCATGCTACGCGGAGCGCCGTCCCGAAGGGAGGCGACAGGCGTTGAATTCATTTAAAAAAAAGAAACCTTGACTTAATCAGTGGTGAAAATATTTAATGAGAAGCGTGCTCTTTCACGGCATCAAGCAGAACACTTGTTTGGCTTTAATTAGTATTGATTTCCATCTCTGAACACGGCTCGCGAGTTGCTGTTTGTTTGTTTCTTACTGCCCTTTATCCGCATTCCATCAGTGTGAGAACAATTGGCGTCGTTTTCTTCTGAACAAATATCAGCTGAATAACAGCTCGTGCTTAGACTTAAACTACTTCTTGGCTGTTTTGAAAGAACATTGAATTTTTGTATTTGTAAATATATTTCAGTTCTGCAACAAAGCGTCCTTTTCAATTCAGGCTGAACGATATAAAAATATGACATTGCATGACATTTGACAATTTCCTTTTAAATATTTGCTCTTCAGTGTTGATTTGCTCTTCAGTGTTTGGCAGAGCTTAATTTCTAAATGAATATTTTCCAGAACAAAACCAGGAAATAAAAGTTACAGTGACATCCACCACACAATTTCAGTTTTTCCGGAACATGACATTACTTAGCGGTTATGCTGAAAAAAGCATCACATTTCTGAACGGTCTTTCATTAGTATGTGTAATATACTGTAATGATATGGGTCAACCATGGATATAAAACAAACAAACATGTAGCTATAAAAAAACATTGTACACTTTAAACCCAATAGTTAAGGTAACTTAAACCGTTTGAGGAAACAAACCATTTAAGTTCAAATACTAATCCTAATGAGTACTGTGAACTTAATCCATTTGAGTAAATGAAGCAGTTTGAGCACAGTAAAACCCAATAAATGAAGAGAACTCAAACCTATTGAGTACTGTAAAACCCAGTAAGTTAAGGCAACTCAAACCGTTTGGGGAAACATATTGCTACAAAACATTTGAGTGAAAAAAAACTAACCTATATGAGTACTGTGAACTTACTCCATTTAAATTAGAGTAATCAGGTATTTAATTAACTCAATTCCTTTAACACTGAGTTCAGAACTCTTTTCAAATGAGTAGAATTAACTTTCAGTCAGTTTTGAGTTAACTACGCTCATTAAGTTTGATAAAGTTGGGTTTTACAGTGTATGAAACATCACTATTTAGTTCACTTAACTATTATGTGCCGAGTGAAAATGACTCGCTCTTCAAGAAGAGCCCTCAGTTTCATCTTCCATCATGTTTTCTGGCCGATTTGACTCGCTTTGTTTCTGTCTCCCACTATCTTGATCCAGGGACGTAGTTTCATCTTAAGATCTCTTTTGATCAGGCTCATTATCAGATTTACTCGTGGTTTTTAAAAAAAATAATACATGCTTGACTGTCTCTTTGGCATTTTGAAAATACAAATACTATTTAGGTGGCATTATTTATTTTTGCTGCTCACTGCACGCCTAACAATAATCACCAACCAATGAAAGTGATTGTAAACGTATGAAAGATCCTAATGTGTGTGTGCGCACACTATCCACACAGCTTTGCTAGCTGTTTTTTACTCGGACTCATTCACGTTCTCTCTCTCACACGCACACACATGCAAAATTACACCACGCAAAAGTTAATGCCGAATTAATTAGAATAAATACTAAAAAGCAAAACACGAATATCGGACATTTCCTAGAAATAGGTCGGGCAAGATTAGGCTCAAATTAAAAACTGGTGTTTGGGCTCTCAGCAGTGGAAAAACCACACTGAACTGAACTGAACTGTAAAATTTCAACTCTGAAAACTGGACTGATGAAGTTTCAATTTACTAGAACTTCTATGTTAAGCTGCTTTGACACAATCTACATTGTAAAAGCGCTATACAAATAAAAACTGAATTGAATTGAAATAGCTCCATTTTCCAAGTCATTATTACTTAAGATTGATTGGGATGATTTTGTCGGGTTCTCTGGTTTCCCCTGCAGTCCAAAGACATGCGCTATAGGTGAATTCATTAATTAAATTGGTTGTAGTGTATGAGTGTGTATGGATGTTTCCCAGACTGGGTTCCAGTTTGAAGGACATCCGCTGCGTAAAACATATGCTGGATAAATTGGAAGTTCATTTCGCTGTGGCGACCCCTAATGATTAAAGGGACTAAGCCAAAGGAAAATGAATGAATAGACTTCTTTATGCACAACTAAAATGCTTTAAAATGCTCACATATTCATGGGTTGCCCACATGGAATCTGCAGATGTCCGCAGATTTTTAGCCCATCATTGAGTCTATTTATTTACTTGTGTAAATTTGTGTAAATTTATATTAAATCAGGTTTTAAATTAATTTAAGTAATGTTATAGTCTGATATGAAAATGTTCACTTTGTTTGTTTAGAAAACAGTTTGTAAAATAATATTTCTGTCTTTTAGTAGAGATATTATACAAGAGGCTTTGTTTACCAAATAAGTGGATCTAATTGGATTTGCATTGTAAACATTAAATACAAGGTAAAAGGGTATTATTATTTCTTTTTATTTCATATGTTAATTTTTTAGTTACAATACTACCAAAATCATTCCGCATCAATCCGCAGATTTTTAACAAAATTCTCAGCAGAAGTAGCAAAAAATGTCCCCAGATTCTGTCTGACCTTAGTCATGGGCTTTAAAAACACATGCAGATGATGAAGTTTCACTTTATTGTGCTTCAATTCTTCAGTGTCTCCGTAAATCTAGTGTGTTTCACCTGTGCTTTTTGGACAACTATAATCCCAACTCAACATTGAATAAGCTGCAATGTGACTATTGTAGATACACACATTGCGATATCAATGCTCATATAATGTGCAGGCCTAATTTCAATTTTGACCATTTAAATGGGTATCTGCTTGGTCTTTAAAAGTCTTAAATTTCAAAAAGTACATTTTAGGCCTTAGAAAGTCTTAAATCGACTGAAATATTGTGTTGCAGGTCTTAAATAATTTTAAATGGGTTTTAATTGCCTTATGTCCATGTAAAGCTTAACCCAATCGGGCCGATATCCATCCAGTCATTAGCAATATTCATTCATTCATTCATTTTCTTTTCAGCTTAGTCTCTTTATTATTCCAGGGGCACCACAGCGGAATGAACAGCCAACTTATCCAGCATATGTTTTACGCTGTGGATGGCCTTTCAGCCACAACCCATCTCTGGGAAACATCCATACACACTCATACACTATGGACAATTTAGCTTACCAGATTCACCTGAACCACATGTCTTTGGACTTTGGGGAAAACTAGAGCACCCAGAGGAAACCCACGCGAACATTGGGAGAACATGCAAACTCCACACAGAAACGCCAACTGACCCAGCCGAGGATCGAACCAGCGACATTCTTGCTGTGAGGCGACAGCACTACCTACTGCGCCACTGCGTCGCCCCACTAACAAAATATTTCAATAAAAGTTTTTAAAAGCCTTTATCAACTCTATTTACTTAACAATATGGTTTAATTATCTTCTTTACAATGACATTTGTTTTGAATGCTTTTTTAAGGCTTATCTTGACCATTAAAAAAAACCTTTAGCGTTTAGCCTTGTGTAAGTCTGAAATTTCATTTTCATTTTGGTCTTGAAATGGTCTTGAAAAGGTCTTAAAGTCTTAAATTTGACTTGATGAAACCTGTAGAAACCTTGTAAATGGAAATAAATGTGCACTTGATTTAAAACAAGGAATATGGAAATGATGATGGCGATTCAACAAATCTGCTTATCGAGCATTTAGACAAACATTTGCAAAAACGTTGCAGAAATAATTGCATTTATTCATTCATTCATTCATTTTCTTTTCAGCTTAGTCCCTTTATTAATCTGGGGCAATCACCTAATTGCTTTTTAATTAAATATAAATATGTCTGTGTTTTAATTTGAATAATTTCTATATAGGTTTTATAAGACATTTAGACATTGCTTTAAATAATAAAATATTAACATATATTATTAAGTTTTTGCTGTTGTTTTTTTGGTACATATTTAATGATTTTGTGTTAGAAATAAGTCTGCTTTTGCACATAATAATAATGGTTCCATTATTAACATAAAGCCTTTTTTTGAAACCCTCCTTCAAACGATTTCCATCTTCCTATTAGTCATTTTACTTGTAGCCTTTTCTATTTACCTCAGCCCTGCTGGAAGCCTAATTAAGTACATTTTTAAGTAGATTAAAAGATCTGAAATCAACATCTGAAATTATTCAATTATTCGGCTTTCATTTTTAATGTGTTCATTTGTTCTTCAATATTATTTAATGTGTAATCATTTAAATATAATCATTTAATAAAGTAAACAATGCAGAACATTTTTATATTCAGTTATTTATACTATTTAATTTATTTTAGATTTATTTATATTATTTTCATTAATACATTTATATTAATATTGCTTTACATATTAGTATTTACATATTATTATTATTATTATTATTATTATTATTATTTATGGTTTTCAAATCTGCAAAAATTATTAATTTGATTTATTACATTTTTTTTAAGGTAAGTGGTTGCAAACAATGTAAACTTAAATTGTTTCTTTAAGTTCAGTTCATATAAATTGTTTGCAATCACTTACCTTAAAAAATTTAGCAAATCCAATTAATCATTTTTTTCTGCGTAACATTCTTATGCTATCTGAAGATATTGCCTTTTTATTAAGAGCTCTCTCACCATATAAAGCAATGTTTTCAATGAGATGTTTTTGGTCTCTAAACAAGCGGCGCATATGTGATGTGACAGGTATAAACGAGCACCTGTGAGCGGCTTTAAGGAAATCTGTGTTCAGCCCTGAGATTCATTAGGAGTGAGTTATGAACGCGGCCTGTTTTCAGCAGGTGTGTCTGACAGAACGCAGCCTCGTGGCACCAGCACTTCCACGTCCGGGACCAAAGAGAGCCATAACACCACAGCTCTCTCTGAAGGAATTATACATCAAGATTGATTAGAGATGTAAAGTCACGCTACCAATGTTGCATGAATGATTTTGAACTCTTAATGTGCGGATAATGATTAGAGATGGTGGCGGCAAAGTGGAGAAAGAAAATTATTCCAAACTTTTTCTGTCTTGTTATCAGACATTTTAGACTTTCCAAAACTTTTTTTGGAAAAATTATTTTTTTTATATATGTAGTTCAGTTGTGAAAGTAGTAGTTGTTAGAATAATTGTTTCAGTTGGATTAAATAGAAATAAGTTTAATATTTGGAGGCGTAAGGGTATTTTGGTATAATTTCTAAATGTTTAATGTTTTTTGTTCGCTGAATTTTAATAATATAATATAATATAATATAATATAATATAATATAATATAATATAATATAATATAATATAATATAATATGAATGATATGATAGGGCGACACGGTGGCGCAGTGGGTAGTACTGTCGCCTCAAAGCAAGAAGGTCGCTGGTTAGAGCCTCGGCTGGGTCACTTGGCATTTATGTGTGGAGTTTGCATGTTCTCTCCATGTTTGCGTGGGTTTCCTCCGGGTGCTCCGAATCCTCCACAGTCCAAAGACATGCGTTATAGGTGAATTGATTAAACTAAGTTGCCAGCAGTGTATGTGTGTGTGTATGGATGTTTCCCAGTATTGAATTGCAGCTGTTAGGGCATGTAAAACATATCCAGGATAAGTCTGCTGTTAATTCCTTTGTGGCAACCTCTGATTAATAAAGGGTCTAAGCGGAAAAGAAAAGTAATGAATATTAATATAATATAATATTATATATTATAATAATTCTAAAAATCTAACATTCCATTCTTTAAATGTTTTTTCCATCATCTTCAGCAGACATTTCTAAAATATTTTAGTTTGATAACAGAAAGGTTTAATGAATATAAGGTTTTTTTTAGTTAGTTTGAATAGAAATAAGTTTTTAATTTAATACATCATAAGGAAAATAGGTATTTTTTGTATTATTAAAAAAAAAGTTATTCAAACTAGTAAAATGTTTTAATTTAAAAATTTTTCCCTGAAATATTAGCTTTTAGATTATTTTAGAAAAAAATTGCAAAAAAAATTGTTAGGATTTATAATAGAGAAAAATTACTTATAAAATAGAAAATGTTATGTATAAAACATGTATAATATAAATTACAATATAATATAATATAATATAATATAATATAATAATGATTAGAGACAGTAGTAAAATGAAGAAAGAAAAATATTTTGGTATTCTAAAAATCAAATATTTCATTCTTAAAATGTTTTTTATCAATTTTAGCAGACATTTCTGGAATATTTTAGTTTTATAACAGGCTTGTTTAAAAAACACAAGCTTTTTAGATGGTTTAAATAGAATTTTTTTTAAATTAGGTATTAAAATAGTTTTATTTAATTAATGGAAATAAAGACCTTTTAAACTGGTTTATAAAGTATTTCAATTCTACTATTTTTGTTTATTTAAATAGAAAACTCGTGCTAAAATACAGTATTACAGGAATTCAATAACACAGTCTCAAACCGAATTACTTTTAGTAAAAGCCTTTCACAAATTACAGCTTGCCAGATTTGATCCAAAGGCAGTCATGGTCGAAAAAAAAAAAAAAAACGTCTCTGTTCCTAATCACAAATCTACCTTTTCAAACAGAATAAAGAACGAATGAAACAGGACCGAAGCAGTCGGCAGTCAGACCTCATGCAGGCCTTAGAGATTCAATCCAGTGCTACATAAAGAAATAAACAGCTTCCTGAATGTGCGTGTGTGTGTATATTAGTGAAGTGCATTACATTTCTGTACCCTGCGTGTGTGTGTGTGTGTGTGTTGGCCATTACGGCCGGGTTTAAAACTGAATGTCACTCGTTACAATCAGGCATGTGGCTTTGCTTAGGGAGCCTGTTCTTTCCAATTAGAAACTGACGAGAAAGACTGAGGCAGGGACAAGGGCCAAACACACAACATGGAAAGAAACTGGAAGCCCTGCATGTGTGTGTGTGTGTGTGTGTGTGTGTGTGTGTGTGTGTGTGTGTGTGTGTGTGTGTGTGTGTGTGAGACTGAGATAGAAAGAAAGAGATTGATTGTGTGTTTGCGCATGTGGTCACTTCTCATGAAGAATGCATTAGGGACGTTTGGTGTCAGTCCGTAAGGTCGTGTCGTGTTTCTTCTGGCAGATTAATAGAGGCTTCTGTTTGTGTCGTGTTTCTGTCGTTCACTCAAAGTCTCTCCGAATTCAGCCATCAATCTTTCCGCTGCTCTTCCTTTGACATCTTCATCCATCCGTTTAACTCCAAGTGTTTTGCTGGAGATGGCAAGACTATTTTAAAAGTGCCTTTTAATATTTGTATTACACTTTATAATAAGGTTTCATTAGTTCATGTTAGTTAATGTATTGATTAACATTAGCTAATTATGAACAATTTCACATTGTTTATTAATTATAGTTCAGCATTTACTAATGCATTATTAAGATCCAAATTCATGCTTTAGTTAATGCACTGAGTTCACATGAACAACTGTACTTTCATTAATGCTAACTAATATAACGCTGTAATAAATGTAATGTTCATTGTTTGTTTATGTTAGTAAATCCATTAACTGACATTAACTAATACAACCTCATTGTAAAGTGTTACCAATATTTGCTATGTGAAATTAGAAATGTACGCGATCCAAAATTCATTCATTCATTTTATTTTCGGCTTGGTCCTTTTATTAATCTGGGGTCACCACAGCGGAATGAACCGCCAACAGCTGCAACCCAACCATGGTAAACATCCATACACACTCATTCACACACATACACTATGGACAATTTAGCTTATTCACCTATAATGCATGTCTTTGGACTGTGGGGTGAAACCAGAGAACCCGAAGGAAACCCACGCGAACACTAGGAGAACATGCAAACTCCACACAGAAATGCCAACTGACCCAGCCAAGGATTGCACCAGTGAACTTTTTGCTGTGAGGCGATTTTGCTAGCCACTGCGCCACCTTGAAGCCCACGATCCAAAATATCAGTTTAAATTTTTTAAAATTTATTTATTTGAGAGAGACATGCACAACAATACATTGACCTTAAAAGGGAAATATGTTTTGTGCTGGGCTTTAGCGAAAAAAAAAAAAAAAACTGCACGTAAACATAAAATCATAAAACACTCAATATATATACAGTGCATTCGGAAAGTATTCGTAGTGCTTCACTTTTTCCACATGTTTTTATGTTACAGCCTTATTCCAAAATTTATTAAATTAATTTATTTGCTCAAGCATCTACACACAATACCCCTTAAAGACAATGTGAAAAGAGTTTATAAAATTGTTGCAAATGTATTAAAAATAAAAAACCTGAAAAATCACATGTACGTAAGCATTCACAGCCTTTGCCATGAAGCTATAAATTGAGCTCAGGTACATTCTGTTTCCACTGATCATTCTTGAGATGTTTCAGCAGCTTAATTGGAGTTCACCTGTGGTGAATTCGGTTGATTGGACATGATTTGAAAAGGCATTCACCTGTCTATATAGGGTCTAAGGGTTGACAGTGCATGGCAAAGCACAAACCAAGCATGAAGACAAAGGAATTGTCTGTAGACCTCCGAGACAAGATTGTCTCTAGGCACAAGGCTAGGGAAGGTTACAGAAAAATTTCTCCTGCTTTAAAAGTTCCAATGAGCACAGTGGCCTCCATCAATCATAAGTGGAAGATGTTTAGAACCACCAGGACTCTTCCTAGAGCTGGCCGGCCATCTAAGCTGAGTAATTGGGGGAGAAGGGCCTTAGTCAGGGAGGGGATCAACAACCCGATGGTCACTCTATCATAGCTCCAGCGATCTTCTGTGAGGAGAACCTTACAGAAAGACAACTATCTGTGCAGCAATCTACTAATCAGGCCTGTATGATTGAGTGGTCAGACGGAAGTCACTCCCCGCCTGAAATTTGCTAAAGGCATCTGAAGGACTCTCAGACCATAAGAAACAAAATTCTCTGGTCTGATGAGACTAAAATTAAACTCTTTGGAGTGAATGCCAGACGTTACGTTTGGAGAAAACCAGGCACCGCTCATCACCAGGCTAATACCATCCCTATAGTGAAGCATGGTGGTGGCAGCATCATGCTGTGGGGATGTTTTGCAGCAACAAGAACTGGAAGACTAGTCAGGATAAAGGAAAAGATAAATGCAGCAATGTACAGAGACATCCTGAGTGAAAACCTGCTTCAGAGTGCTCTTGACCTCAGACGGGGGTGGTTCATCTTCCAGCAGGACAATGACCCAAAGCACACCGCCAAAATATAAATTATTAATGGAGTGGCTTCACAACAACTCTGTGAATGTCCTTGAGTGGCCCAGCCAGAGCCCAGACCTAAATCCTACTGAACATCTCTGGAGAGATCTGAAAATGGCTGTACACGGTTGCTTCCCATCCAACCTGATAGAGCTTGAGAGGTACTGCAAAGAGGATTGGCAAAAATTCCCAGAGACTGGTGTACCAAGCTTGTGGCATCATATTCAAAAAGACTTGAGGCTGTAATTGCTGCCAAATGTGCATCAACAAAGTATTGAGCAAAGGCTGTGAATACTTTTGTACATGTGATTTTTCTTTTTTTTTTTTTTTGTTATGAAATAGCTTTTTTCACATTGTCACTATGGTGTGTTGTGCGTAAAAGTTTGAGGAAATAAATTAATTTAATCCATTCTGGAATAAGGCTGTAACGTAAAAATATATATATGTGTGAATGGGTGTTTCCCAGTACTGAGTTGCGGCTAGAAGGGTTGCGTAAAACATATGCTGGAATAGTTGGAGTTCATTCCGCTTTGGCGACTCATGATAAATAAGGGCCTAAGCCCAAGGATTGAATTAATAAATTTCCCTGTGGTATTTTTGCGTGGATTGCATCATCAGATTCAACGATTTCTATTTGTTCTTGGTCTGATGCTCGTCGAGGCTGTTGTCACTCTATAGGACAGTGTCGGAAATCTTCTGATACTGCCAGAACGTCAGCAGAGGTAAAATCTGATTGCAATGGCAGTTAAGTGTTTGTCAATAAACATGTCAAACCACATATTTTAGCATAGGGATTTCAGGAAGTAATCCATAATTTATTGCAATAATTTACTTTTTATCATTACAAAAAGCATTTATCGGCAGATATAACTACTGATATATCATGCATCACTACTATCATTATAATTGCGTCTTTTCTGTTGTTGCTGTTGCTGTTGTTGTTGTTGTTGTTGTGATGGGCCAGGCTTTTTTCACATAAATTAATGAATTTAAATCAACCAGCTCTCACAGTATCTAAGTGTTTTCGAAGTGTATTTTGACAAATATGCACAATTTCCCACAAATCTGGTACATTTAATTAAACATATTCATGCTTTGAAATGACCTTATAAACCGAGTCTTTCTAACTCCTTCATGAAACATGTCGATGTTACATGACAGACTGGCAGCGAGGCAGCAGTTCCGCATTTGTGTTTCATTGCACTGAAATACAGTCCAAGTATGACAGCGAGACACGGCGAGTCCAAACTTTGGCTGGTTTCGGTGCGCCGTGTTATGATGGAAACACTTTCTGAATCCATTAATCTCGAAAAAGAACTGCCATCATCATGGAGTTTATTGTGTGTGTGTGTGTGTTTGGAGGTGGGGAGCTACACGAGGGCCTCTAAAGGAATGAATGAGGGGTATTTGGAAAGCAATAGGAATGGGGTTTTAATGAGAGTTTATAGGGAGTTAGACCCACAGAGAGAGAGTAAAAGAGAGAAGCTCACAGTCATCTGAAACTGCACACGCCACACAAGGAATATCACAAAACCTTTAAAATGCAAGACACAATGGCTCAGGAAGTGTGTGTATGTGTGCGACCACCAGCTTGAGAGGAAAACACACTGACTGTGTTTGAAAAGGAGTAATAGATTGTAGCATGCATAGTTTACTATAGGGCCTCTAAAAAACCATATACACTGCAAAAAAGCGAGTAGTTGACCTTACTTGAGAAAAGGGATTTAACCTGTTGCTTTTTAAACAATTAGTTCTTTGCTTAATTTTAAGACAATACATTTTGTTAAGTAAATGAACCATATGCGTACATTTATTTTAAAAAAGGTTAAGTCAGCTTAACAAATTCAAGTTACAACTGGTTTACCAACTCATTTTTTAAAGGGTTGTCCACAGTGTATTTTTAAGGCTTAGTTGTGTTTATAAGATGCAAAGCAATGTGTGCTCATGCTTTATTCGTAGAAAATCACTTTATTTTTTCATATATCTTACTTTGTGTCTATACAGCTACTCAGCTAACATGAAAACGACATCAATCTGTTTGTCAAAGTATAAGCTCTTTAAAATAAAGGTGTTTTTTGCTTGGTTTGGGACTTGTGGAGCTGCACATTGGTGGATTTGCTCCTCAGTGTTTGGACTTTCAGCAGTGAAATTTAAACCACACTAAACTGAGCTTCAATCCTGAAAACTAGACTGACACAGTTTCAGTTGACTAGAACTTCTATGTTGCAATATACATTGTAAAAGTGTTATAGAAATAAACATGAATTGAATTAAATATATTTGGATTCCACCAATAAGCCCTTTAAGAAAGTGTTGTTAGGATTACGTTTTTTTTTTTTTTTTTCATTGTGTGGGGAACACAAGGGTTCACACAGACTGATAGCTATAACAATAACTGTAACTATATTATTGTCTTTTTATTGTAAACTCACGCTACAGATTTGTTCTGTCTTTTTTAAATGCTCACACTCTTCAAAGTATGGTGGAGTCGGTGGAGCGATGACACTAGGAAGCGATCACAAACTGAGGAGCTGGAAAGAGGGGTGAGTTGGAGTGGCGACGCAGGGAAGCGTGCAGGGAAACTGAGCAATCACTAACTAAGGAGGGGGTAGTGTTGTGTAGCGACAACGCGGGACCCCCTGATCATGCGGAGCCCCCCTCGCGGTGTGTGCCCTGCGGGCCCGTCATATTTCCTAGTTCCTCTGAAA